ATACACTTAACGTCGTCGTCGTACGTGATTCGGCCTATTCGGCTTGACAGTGTTTTCACCTTCTCAAATATTGCGAAAGCGACCTCCACGGAAAGGCGCTCGAGCACCTCGAGCGTCGATCAAGACTGTGCCGGAAACTCTTCGCTTCGAAAAATCCCACAGAAAATTGACCCCGAGAATAGAAGTTTCGTCGATCGTCACCAACCTCACTCAGCGCGGTCGCGAACTTCGTCAGAAAGAACCACTGAACGCGCGAAGCCATTGTATCGTCCGCTAGCAAGGCAAAACCGGTTGTGATACTTTATTACGGGGTTTTGTCATTGGTATATGGTACTGAGAGGATAGAAACAGTCTTCATGATGAAATATTGAGAAGGCGCAAGGCTTACAAAACATTATTTTCTTTTTTTTTATCGGTTTCTAACCTCACGTTGAGCCCCTATGCATTTGTCCATTACATTGGCCCTATACAACGGTTTGTTTGAAGCGGAGTGCCATGCTGTGACGTCATCACTTACAGTGAAATGATTGGAGGGACCTCTGCTCGGAAGCGAAATCTTCCCGAAACGGACAATGCTACACGGCTGGTTCTGAGCTAGCCACGTCTAAAGTGACTGAATCCTGGTAAAATAGCGCCAAGCTCCCCGTATGGTCGCCATCTTGGTCCCTGAAATGAGCAATTTCTCCTTGACCCCTCCATTTGTGGTGAGCCGGTCTAAATTCACTGGTGACGGGTAGCTTTATAGAGACGTTTCTTGTATACCGAGATTTCGCTATTCGCTAGCACTATACAGATAACTTTGCCCCTGCTGAACGAGTGGTAACTTTAGCGCTCCACGGTGCTTCCCATGCGCTCTAAGTCTTTCCAATGTTGGCTAATTTAAAGTTTGTCGATGACGCCCAGGAAGTTCCTAATTAGAACATAATGTTAATTTTCAATAACATTATGAACATATATTAGCTAATTATCCGAATGATCGTTATAATAATGAACCGAAATCGCTGCTCTAGTAACCACGCTGATTCTCGCAGAAATGCGTTAATGTTTCGTGCAGCGGTTATACATAACAAGGCATGATGGATGCAGCCTTTCAGCACTTTCCCGCGGAGTGAACATTCCCGAAACCCCTCTTCTCCTTTGTGCAAGCAGATCAGGTCACTTAGCGTGTGCATGAAGGACGGCGGCCGCCCAGGCTTGACTGGTTAAAGAAAGCGACGGCGTGACGTCACGCCTAAAGTCACTGGATCCTGGGAAAGTAGCGCAAAGCTCCCCGTATGGTCGCCATCTTGGTCCGTGAAATGGGCAATTTCTCCTTGACCCCTCCGTTTGTGGCGAGCCGATCTAATAGACCTATTGGCGACGTGCGCGATCAAAAGCGTCACGGTGGTCGGCCTTTCACGATTGGCCGAATGCTGACTATGACGTCAGCAAGAGAGTTCTCATGGACGGAAATAAAAGGAACGTCAGCACTTTATTTCTGACGGTGTTGAAAGTGTTGGTTCAAGAGCGCTATGGCTTCAAGCTTCCGCCGTGCTAATTACAAACACCATCGAACTCGTTGCTCGCAAGGTAATGACGTCACGAAAGGTAACCATACGAGGGCGCCACCAAAACATCACTCCGCTATCGCTGAATTACCCAAGCATCAAGGAGAACGCAGGGATTGGTGTTCCACGTGCCACACGCGCATGCCTTCCTCGTATAAAAGATTCAAAGTAAATAACCAAAATAAAGCGTTGATGAACGCGCGTGCAAGATGCAATTTGTTTTAGGCATTAATTGCTTTAGAAAAGTTACTACTGCTGAGGCCAGCCCGTGCGGCGCGTGGAGCACTAATCTCTGCAGTCTCCTTGATGCTTGGGTAATTTATAGATAGAGCTATTGCTAAATTACCCAAGAATTTGCATTCTGCAAATACTTGGGTAATTTAATATAAACATAATTACCGAAGCATTTGCTAAATTACCCAAGCAATATTGCATCTTGCACGCGCGTTCGCCAACGTTTGGTTTCGGTTATTTACTTCGAATCTTTTTATACGGGGAAGGCGTGTGCGTGTTGCGCGTTTAACACCAATCCCTGCATTCCCCTTGATATATTTCGCTCGTGACGGGTAGCTTTATGGAGGCGTTTCCTGTCTACCGAGATTTTGCTATCTACACACCGGCGAAACAAGCGTACATCTTCGTACCACCACCACTCGCTGTGTCGGTGCTTGGAGGCACTGAAAAATAATTCTACTCTTTTGAAATACGCCAAAAAGAAGAATATAATTATAAGAGATCCGTGGAGATGGGCATGATTGATAAGTTGATTGCATGCACAGTGCCAAAGACGCTTATATTGGCGAGGAACGCTTCCAGTACGATGATGCTCCATGGTGATCTTGGCGCGTCTGGTTTAGAACGACCCTCTTGGCAGAGTCAGGTGTACTCCGTTTCACCCTACGCAGTTCCATGACGGACGTTTCAGAATCTCGGCCTTTTTGCTAAGATCAAAGTGTAGCCACCGAAGGCTAGATCAATGCCGGCTAAGTAGCGTTGTATGCCCGCCTTCGGGCGGGTGTCGCTTCCGGGCGTTGTCCCCCTTTTGGGGGGAAGAATGTAAATCGTACGTTTAGTTTAAAATTTTTTTCTGAAAAGGATTGAAAGCGCTAAAAAGCGAGGTCCAGTAAAAGAAGCGACACACAGCAATTCACTAGCTCGTAGCGTCCATGACGGACGCTACGAGCTACTCGCCGACGCCAATTCGTGCTTCATATAGACGTGAAATATACTTACTTGTTTCAATATTATTGAGTTGTTTCCATGCCGTCGCTGCCGTTCGTTGAGTCAAAACTGAGCCGCTGACACCATCGTCGCAAATATTTAATTGACTTGGCGCCGTTACCCGCAAGAAGGCACGGCTCAGATTTTATTACGCCGAACCGTTTCCAATGGACTGGGACCCGCCACATGAGATTAGGGTTTCGTTCCGGTTCGGGTTCAGTATCAACAGTTTTGTTTCGGTTCAGTTAAAAATAACGGTTTTGCTCCGGTTTTCGCTTCGGGTTCGGTATGACACCATGGTTTAAAGCTACAGGCTAATCGCGCATGATTACGACAGTCGCTTTGTCGGTTCTCGCGGCGCCTGGAAGGACACCTTGTCTGTCTGCAGCTATTCAGTTTTAGTTGCTTCACTGATTTGCGTGCCATTTTCATCGTCGAAGTAGCATAAGCCAGTGAGACAATCGAGGCGTCAATCACCTCCAGTACAATGACGCTGTTTCAAGAGCCACTTACCCTGCGCTGGCGAATTGCACCATTATTTCGTAGGCCCTTGATAAAAATCGACACAGCTCGCAAAAAAACCGAGCCCATTCCATTCCCACTCCGTTCCGGGGAAAAGGCACCTAATTCCATTCTCATTCCATTCCGGGGTCGGGAAAGTGCGGAATGATTCCGGAATCATGCCAACTCCGGAGTGGCAACTCCGCAACACTGCTACTGACCTAGCGCGCAAAAACGGAAGGAAAAAAAGTAGGTGGTGCGAGGATGCACTTAGAGCGGGGAGGGGTGGAAGGGGCAGGATAGAGAGGAGCAGAAACAGGTGGTGTACAAAAAGCCTTCGGAACGAGGAGTGAAATGGCAATGGAAGCGCGCTTCCTCTCTTTTGTTGATCAAGAAAATTACTCTCTTTTGTTGATCAAGAAAATTCAGCGCAAAGGCTTTGTATCCGGGTGGTGCTGAAGGGAAGCGCGCGCAGCGTCACGAAGAAACCATGGTGCGACCTAATCTTTTCCCATAAAAAAGGACCTCGCCTAGGCACCACCCGAGCTAAGAACACCACCCACCTCAAGCACTGAAAGACTGAGCTGTCTCCTTGCCCCGTCCCGGCCCCGGCGGGGAAGGACCCTTGCCGAAAACGGGAGGGTCCTTCCGGCGTTCGAACCAGCGTTGACGGACCTGCCGGCGGTGGCTACATGGATGGATAGATCGATGCTGGTGGCTGTACCCTCTGCATTGGGCGGTAGCTTGGGTCACCTAGCCTAGAAACCTTTCTGCCCCTCTTAGATTCTGCGTCGAAGATTTTTTACCCCGTTAAACTGGTATGGCCCGGTATTTTTTTTTTGCGCACAATTTCACATTTTCCTGGATCTCTACCACCGATCTTTTAACACCCCCCCCCCCCCCCCCCCCCCTGCCTTTTGGTGACTACTTTTTTTTCTTGGAGCTTGTGGAGGCGGCCAAGGCAGCAACCGGCCGAGTCGGAGTTGCATCATAGAACTATTTTATTTTTTAAGCAAGGACAAAGAAGAAGCAAACAAGGAAAGAGCTTCTATGCTAGCAACAGATGACTAGCGTGGAAGGGACAACACGAAAAAGAGAAGAAAGTAAAATTCAAACTGACCTGAACATAACAGAGCTGGCGTTTGGGTCGCGATAACGATCTTTCATGTGTTTGAACAGTTCATTTGAAAAATTAATAGGTGGGCCAGTTGATACATGTTTAACTTGTAAAGCGCCTAAAAAACGAGTTAGCACTTGGTCTTGTCTCTTCTTCCTCGTGTTTTTGTTTTTTAGGCGCTTTGCAATTTTATTTGTCTCTATACGTTTTGAAACGAAAACGACAGGAGCAACGGCGAGCGCGTTTCACATCAATCACTCGTGCCAAATTTCTTCCCCGGTGATCGACCACCGTATTTTCTTTCTTTGGCTGCTCTTTCCCGAAATCGCGTCTACAACTATCGTAATGGAACCCATATGGTCTCACCATTTCGAGCAGCAGCTCAGCGATAAATTTAATTTTCTGTAAGCCCGTTCTTGAAGAACCGTATAAGCAACACAGAACGCGCGTCGTCCCACTATAGAGAAAAGAGCTTCATTAGGGACTTTCAGCAAACCTTTACCGTATACCGCGTACCGCATATGTCTGCCAAAATGAGTGCCCCTGAGGCATTACTCCTTGCCCGATTTTAGTTTTGTTCTTGTTAAGGCAACAATGAATTTAGTACCACCTACCTTTGAGACCGGTGTTGATGATGGTTGGCGAGATGTCGTCGTAATTCTTCATGACGTGGATGACTCCGTTGCTGAAGCAAACGGCCAGGACGGATAGCTTGGATTCGGGAGCTGCGGGCAGGAAACAAAAAAGATGAGGAACTTCATTGGAGCTACAGATACCGCGAACGAACATCGCAAGTGCGACAGTCATCAAACTTGCGAGAAACATTCCCACGTATGCCAGAGTCCTGTGGCTTTAAGTTGGGCGCTTGGCGAGAAAATCGTTGAGATCGTCAACCGCTGGGATTGGCTAGCGCCAAAGTCAAGCGCGGCGCCGACCAATCGGGGCAGTGGGCGAACTCGTCGACTTTCTCATCGGGCGCTCTACTTAGAGCCCCTGGTATTTGCGTAAAGGCAAACCATATTCTGAATACCTACAGTCGGCGACAAGTTAAGAATTCACTTCATGCTCAGCCTCCACGCAAGCTCATTGCTTTCCACAGGGCTTTGGCTGCACATGCGCCGAAGCGCTATCAAAGGCAGAAAACTCTCGTTGGAGGCCGATTATCAATTGAATTCTTAATGAAACCGTACGGCATTGCAGTAACGCATAAACCTGTCTCAACTCTGGGCCATTTTCTTCCTCTTCCAAAGGATCGTCCACCAAAAGAAAAAGCTCAAGGCCTGATTTACCAAATTCCTTGTGCCGAATGCGACGCCTCTTATGTGGGGGAAACAAAGAACTTTCCCGAACGTCTGCGTAGACATAAGTATGACGTAAAGAAGAATGACATCCAAGGCAGCGCGCTGGCGGAACATGCTCAGAAGACCGGCCACGCCATTGGCTTTGACAGCAGCTCCATCCTCGACACAGAAAGAAACTGGAGGAAGCGGCTCTTAATAGAATCTTGGCACATACAAAATACAAGCAACAACCTGAACCGATCCACCGGAACGCTTCCAAGCAGCTACATACACGGACTAAAATGCGTCACACACAGAAAAAGAAGAAGAAAACAAAGCTAAGAGAGAAGAGAAGAAAACGACGACAGGTTGCTACCTTTGGGCCCATATACAGTCACCCGTGAACAAGGAGCCGAGCTGGCTTCGAAACGTCGGGCACATTGAAGAAATTGGTTAGAGTCTACGTTGTACTTTTTCTTATCACTTACCTAACCAGGCGGAGTTCCGCCGAAATGTTTACATTTAAATTCTTAACCTGTCACCGACACTACTTAGACACAGCCGTAATCAACGACTGAACTTTAGGGTGCCAGTATGGTGTCGTTGTAGCAGTAGTAGTAATAGTAATTGTCAAGATGTCTTTATTGAGAAAAATACCAGACCCATTTGACTCAAGCCACCAGGGCCAGGTGTCTTCAAATACCCACGCGCCTTTTGCAAGAGTGGTGACACCGTGGTAACTTTGCCAACAGCTGTTTTCAACGCGGAATGTGTTGAAGGACTAGAATAGCCGAGGAAAGTGTGATTTGATGCCATGAAAAACCGTGTCGAAAAGCCGCCATACAAAAACCGTCACACGCGCGCCAAATATAGCGGGATTAACTCCAGCCGAATTTGGTGTTACGGAAATGCGTTACGAAAAAGCTGGGGTAACGCCCCAAAAAATTTAGCGGACGGTGGTCATGTGGCGTCTCGCCAGCGAGACGTCTCGTGATGTTGCCAACACACCGTGGTCACGTGACACCAACCATGTAACCTGACGTCACTGATGCCATAGCGTGGCACCGTAAACGCCGCGTGCTAGGTCACGTAACGTCTCATTACATGATACCACGTTACATCATGACGCGATACCGTGACGTCATGCGATCACGTGATCCAGCAGTACCAGCCATGTGATCGTCGTACGGATTCTACGCACGATGAGTCCGGCTCATAACACGCAGCTCGAAAGAGCTCAAAACGTTCATACCACGACCTTCATCTTATCGATTTAAGCACATGGCATATTCTTTCACCATGACAACGCTACACCTTTGGCAGGTAAGAAAGTAAAGAGACAAAAAAGAAGTAAACAAACGAAACATTTATTGGATGAGAATGTGCACACCTCTGATTTTCAGTTACATGATTAATCGCAATTTATTCGGTGCAATATAGCCTTTCTGGAGGACAAGCAGTGCTATCGGATTTTGACGTAGTCTACAGTAAACACCACAGAAACACATCCCCTTTTTCGTTTTATTACTACGAGGATGTACCGAGCGTTCTCAAAAGCATGCGAATGATTGAACTATTCCGTCAGCTGTCTGAAGATTGTTCCCTTACCAAAATTTGCATATGTCACTCTCTACGCGTTATCGTGTTCTTTGGTGGAGAATATGAGAGGAACACCGTTGGTACAGATGCGATGAGAGCCAGTCGACAACCTCTCGCAGTGCGGACGAGTGCTGCTGTAAATATCCGAAGCAGTGCGAAAAATGCATCGTCCCGTCGGTCATATTTATGCGTTTGCTTTCATCGACTAAACCATTCACGTACAGTAAATTCGCCGTTATATTCAGTTTTTTTCTGCGCGTGATTATTTTAGCTGGTGTTACCAAACACACAACAATGAACGTCGTGACGGTGCACTTTTTTTTTTGTCACCAGCTCGAAGCCAACGTTTCGTGCACCACCTTCTATAGACTCTAGTAAACCACGGTCCTTTTATGGAAGTCAAAATAGAGGGTGAACGGATAATACTGACGGACGAGGAGTGGCTACATCGAATAACTTTATTTTCAAATCAAACTCTGCCGGTGGCTCACTGTACCAGTGACACATTCCAAGTCGGGTTTCAAGGCCAGAATCTGGTAAGCACTAAAAGAAAGCGTAGGAAGAAAACAGATATAAATTCAGCGCCAGAGACGCGTCGTTATTCGCATAAAATGACCCATTAGATTCCGTCGAAGGAAAGGCGCGTACACAAATAAAAGCCCGCAAGGCGCCCTCGCGGACACGCCACCACACACCACATACGAGTGTTTTTTGGAGGGTTTTATAGATTTGATTAAAAAAAGGCGCGAAAGCTAGACTAATACGGTTTGTGCAGGTGAGTTATACGAGCGGGGAAACATAATATAGAAAGTTAATTGCCGTGAAAAGCCCTATAATTGCCTCACAAATATATTTTGTAACTTTTAATTAGTGAAATAAACATGAAGTTTCAACTATGCACTTTCTGGGTGTCTTCGATACCTATAATTCAGGAAATTTCAGAAAGATTTGGCAAGTGTGGAAATCGCGGTGACGCGCTGTTAAAGTCACCACTCGTGCAAAATGCGCAAGGCTGGCGATGCAAAACGCGGATGACAATACCGGGCGCTTATCCGCGTGTTCGCATGCTAGCCTTGAGTCTGTTGCACGAGTGGTGCCTTAGGCGCACAACCGCGGTTCCCACGTGCTCCAGATCTTTCTAAAATAACCGAGTTCGTGGTTTTTGTCGACGCTCAAGTTTATAATGGGAACGATATGCTTATTTTCACAGATGAAAGAGTTATCGAATAGATATCAGTTTATTATCAAACGTTTAGCAACGATTAGCCCCTTATATTTATCCCCCTTGTCGTATAACCCACCTGCACAAACCACATTAGTCTAGCTTGTGAGATAAAAAAAAAATTAGAAAGAAACCGATTCGTAAAGCCTAAAAAAAAACACTCTGCATTTAGCTTTGCGTCCAGATACAAGAATATAAATCTTCTTTATGCCCATTGGTCACTTAGCGGAGAGAAGTGTATTCCCAGACCTAGATTCATGCTGCGAACGAGCCTTCGTAGCTCATCTATGTGAACGCTCGTTACGTGAGTGCACCGGATGACAAAAAGCACCAGGAGATCGTTCTCCGCCATCACAAGGTCTCTGAGGCCCGACATAGTGACGCCGTGAACTTCAGTCAGTTGAAGTTCCCGAAGTCTGGAAAACGTTCCCGAGGAAATCAACTGCTGGAGCGCACTGTCCGCCAGGTGACATCTCTTGAGGAAAACTACAGCCAGGTGTCCGTAGTCCTGGAGGAACTCGAAGGGTCGGTTCGGATGCAGCGAGCTCATGACGTGCAAGGAAAGCCTGAACTTCTGTAGTCTCACCAGGCTCCTGGTTTCATTTCTGGAGTAGTTGATGAGTCGTTCTAGGCCTTCCAGTCGAAGCTCACGAAGTGCGGGACAGAACCTTTGCAGGAAATAAAAGAGTTTGTCACGCAATAAGAACTTCGGTTACTCTTGTGAGACTTGGAGGGGGAACGCTAATCGTCTTAAGTTTTGCAAGTGCCATGAATTGGCCTTCGATACTAGAAGATTCAGCCGTGAGGTCTGCTCGGAACTGTTGTGATCTTAAAAATTTTAAGAACCCATAGTGAACACGACCTGGATAACGGTGGGCGTTCGTGCATTTTGCGCTTTAGAAGATTCTACTTAATTCTTTGAAAAAATTAAAAAAAAGTGCACGTCAGCTTGCCCCGATTAATTTCGGCTATGTTATCACGTTGCGTTGCCCAAACCACGTGCAGAGCTCTCGCCAGTCAATGGGTCGTCCACGCTCCAGTGAGCTTTTATATTGTTAAAGACCGTGCGAATAAGTATTGACAATAAACTATATATGGGTATAATGAAAGACCAACAGGTGGAACCATAGCCTCCTCTATATTAACAAAGCCTGGCAGTTCGACAACGGAGCCATAGAGTGCCCGGTCGCAGGTTTGGAGCGCGAGGATCTGGTAGCAGAGAGCATCAAAGAGCCATTTTTAGGAGAACCATGACGTTAGCGCACAACTTTTGCAGCGGCGAGGACCCGAAACACTTGTCCGCTCGGGAGAAGTGTGTTTCGGCGTCTCGCAGCAGCGGGGCGCCTGTCACGTGGCTCCTCTCATCCGTTGTCTGCCGCTCCAGCTTTTCCATTTCGGCGGCCGCTTCTTGTGACGATTGGCCAGGCCTTTGTCAATATAATACTCCGTTTCACCTTATGTTGTACCGCAGCGAAGGCTAGAAGCGCGAGGTCATATATGACCTCGCGCTTCTAGCTTTCGCTTTAAGGGCAGTTAACAACGCTATTGCGTTGCTAACTGCCCTTAAAGGGGTATTCACACGAGGGAGAAATTCCGGGGATACCTCCCCGGCACGCGCGTCCCG